TTCATGCCTAGAGCTACAAAGGACAGGAAATTGTGGAGAGCCATGGTTGCTAACATCCTGAAGGGACACGGCTCAGAGAAGGAGAAGAATTAACAGTTGATGGTTGTTCATTTATGGCTTTTATTTTGAGAGACATCACAACCTTTAAAATGGTTAAACTAGTATGTTCACATATTGTTTCATTCTATGAGCATCTTTATAGATGCCCAGTTTAAAATGATATATCAGAATTGCTAATCTCTCTATACTATTATAGCATCTAACACAAATAGGTACACTTGAATAGTATTGTTAACTATATATGCAAGGAGGTGCAGAAAATTTGTTGGTCAAACCAAGAAGTCTGATGTTTAGTAAGAAATTTGGAAGTGGATTAGGCTAAGACCATTCTGTTAATATAATAATATTAATTATACAATAGATAAATAGTCTTTAAATATTTCCAGGAAATAAGCTTTAGAACAAGAGCCAGTAAAAAATGAAAATACTTTTAATATATCCTAATATATAAGAATAATATTAAAAGTCATTGATAGTATTTAGATAAATATTTTTAAATCATTTCCCTCTAAGCAAGGTAATAAAACCACTAAGATACTATTGGTAATTGAGTACAAGGTAATATGATAAAATAAAGGTCTATGAAGTAAAGAGAACAATTAAAGAACAAGAATTAAGAAGACAGAAGATAATTTACATTGAACTAAAAATTTTTGAAGATCAACGTTGACTGGAAACCAAGAAGTGGGCAGAGAGTTCCACAAACGAAAAGTGTGAGAGAAGAAAGTTTTATCATAGAGCTTATGGTTACGTCTAGCCATTTCAACTATAAAATAAGGAGACCTAGCTCCCAATCTACTCGTGCACTTAAAGTCATACAGTCTAGGTACCAAAGAGAAAAACATATTACTATAATTATCATGAAAGTATTTATAGAAAAGACATATAGAATATCTTTTGGTGCAAGGGCCTTAAAATGTAAAGATAAATAATAATAATAATGATGGTGATTGGTTGGAATAAGTAGTAGTCATCATAGAAGAGTTTTTATCAATAGTTTATATATATATATATATATATATATATATATATATATATATATATAATAAGATTTGGAGTTTGTAAAAAAAAATGAAATTTTTCATAAGCATTAATAACAAATAAAATGAAGACCTAAATTCAAATAAACCTTCAGAGGATAGAGAATTGTAAATCCAAGTAAAAGTAATCTTTCTCATTTCTTTTTCCATCAACAATGGAATTGTTGGTGGAATATTTAGAGAAAAGCAATTAAAATAAGATTATGATTACTTTGTGGCCCAGACCAGAAACAAGATTTTCTTTGATAAGAAAAGATTCACATAATTTAAAGATGAACAATGATTCACATATAATTCTGCTCTTTAATTCTAAAGTTGTTCAACATTTCCAGATTATGAATCAGTTTTCTCATAAGGTTTACTTAATAATCTTATATCTAATAGAAAGTGTGAAATTTTACAACCTTTTTATTTTTTTATATCTAATCATTTGAGGCAGCATATATAGTTTGGTGCTTCTACTATATATCTCAAGATTCTTGACAAAATTCAAAGAAGGGTCTGTAATGTTATCGGTCTTGACCTGACATCTCAACTTCTGTCACTTACTCACTGACAGGATGTGGCTACCCTCTGTCTTTCCTACAAGTATTTTTATAGCAATTGTTCTGATGAGCTTTCCTCCTTACTCCTAAGATGGCATGGATTTAAGCTTTCTACCAGATTGGCAACTAGGTCCTACCAGTTTACTGTTGAAATAGCTAGATGCAACCTTATGTTGTATTATGATAGTTTCTTCTCTCACATTTCTCACCTATGGAACTCTCAGCCGGTTTCTTACTTTTCTGTCACATTCAAAAATTTAAATGCAAAACCAATTGCCATTTTCTGTCTTCTTAAAACCTGTTCTTTTATTGTCCTTTCTCCTCAATAAAGTCTTCTTTTCCTCTGCAAGTAACTTCTTTGCATCTTAGTTGCATTATTGCCTTGCTTGGGTGAAATAATGATGAATAAATACTCTATAGAAGTCAAATTGCAGCACATAACACAATATGCATGGAGACACTTGCTGTGCCTGCATTATTAGATACTTGTCATAGCCTTTATGCTATGGTTTTAATTAAGATCTTTTCTCTATTCAGTGTCCCCAAATCAATATCTTCATTCAGCTATTTACTTATTAGGAGCTAAAATCTTCAGTTGTGACTAAAACCTTTATTCATATCACAGCAGTAGTAGAAAGCTGAAGATCAAAGAACTTCATGGAAATCTTGTCAACTGCCCAGTGGGAGTTAGTGTCTATCCAGTGCAAGCCTTTCAGAGCAGGAAACTGCACTCAAATTACCAAAACTGTACTTGTCTACTATGAAAGTTAGAATTGAAACACGAAGAATGTGTACTCTTGAAAGGAATGTCTTAAAAGCATCCTTCATGTGTTAATTTCAAAAGACACAATTATTTTATATTTTTGGGCTTTATGATTTCAAAATCAAATTACAGAGAGAATATAAATTTTGTTGTCTTTATTCAATATTCTGACAATAAATTTCCTTTTGTATTGTATCCATTGTAATATATTTTACATAGTAAATGAATGTACTGCTTTAGAGAATAATGTCCATATGTATGAAGGTGTATTAGAAGGATTCTTATTATTTTTATCAACCTTTACTCCAAAGCTTATTTCCTGTATATATCTAAAGAGAATATACAAGGTGATTGAAAAGTAACTCCCTATTTTATGTATGATGGACTCTCTCGTCTGACTATAATTTTTACATTACAGGAGAGTCCATCATCCATAAAATATGGTGTTACTTTTCAATCACCCTGTCTAACTCCAGTACATTACTATTATATCATACCATATCACTGTTATTATATCTTTTGTTTCAGTATTACAATGGTGGATACATGTATTGAGATTCTGGCAGATTTGAGGCATTATTTTAAGTTAATTCTTAAAGTTGCTAAAGCCGTTCACAGAATTCAGAAATTCAAAATGAAGAAATATCATACTATAGCACTCAAAACTGGTTTAAATATCATAAACATGGTAGCTTGTCTGTTAAAATAAAGCCCAAATGTAGGTGACCTTAGGTTATCAATTATAATGCTTTATAATAGAATGTAATTGAGAAGCCAACCATGATTACTAAAAAATGGTCATAAAAACTAAGATCATCAAAAGATAGCATATATAGAGCATTACATAAAGTTCAGAACACATAAAAGACCATTTGAGAGATTAAAAATGAAAATACTTTTGTTATATTCTCATAAAGTATCAACCTTTTGAATTGCACTAACCAGGTATCATCGATACTAGAAATGTTACTTACTTCTACAGGCTTATGGCCATATTACATTGAAACATTGGTTCCCATATGATTGCTGAGACTAAGCAATGTCAATCCTGTTCAGTGCCTATATGAGTGACTTCTTGGGAATACCAGATGCTATAAGCTTGGATGTGAGAATGGTGTAATGGACAATGGCTCAGAAATTTTAATCAGAAAGCTGAGTTCTAATTCCATTTATGTTTATAATATTCACTTATGTACAAATACCCCTGGGAAAAGTATGAATCCATCTTTCCTTTCCCAGCTATGGGTTAATTAGTAAGACTTATAATGCTAAATCATTATTTTAAAAAATAAATTCTTACCATCTTAAAATATTCTTTGGTTTTAAGTAACATTTACAAACCATAGAAAATGAATCAGTCAGTTACTTCAATACAAGTAATATCACACAGTCTTGACATTTGATAATTCTTCAATTAATTTACTTTTCAAGAATAAATGCAAAATATTTATCCTCTTTTTAGATTTAAAATTCCCTAACATATTTTATGCAAATTTTGAATATCTTACTTGGTTTGACAAATTACTTGTTATAAAACTTTTAATGATTTTGTAGAGAAAAATTCAGGATTATGTCAATGAGAAATGCCCCCAAAAAAGAAATAATTCTTGAGTCATGAATCAAAGTTCAATGACATCAATTCTTTCTTTTTTGAAAACTTTGGTAAAAAAATTTGGTTTGTACTTCAACTGTATTAAACATTTATTTTGTATTGGTTGAGTTTACCACAAAGCTAAACTCACACACCATTAGTACTTTTGTGAATTTGAAGTTTCCTGGTTGTCCTACAATTGAATCCTTGTGCTAAATTTAAATTCTGTCCAAATTTCTGGGATGAGAAGTTATCATTATTTATACTATTTACATGTGGACAATTGTTCTCATTTTTGTAGTTGTTATACACCTCTCTGATGAAAGTCAAAGCATTGTGATAACAAAAACAAAAATAAGGACAATAGTCTGCATTTAAATTGTGTAAATAAACTAATTTTAATATCATAAGCACGTTTTTTAATCAATTCATCCCAAGCAAGGCAATAATGCTACTAAGATGCAAGGGGCTACTGGGAGTGAAGGAGAGAGAGAAAAGACTTTAGAAGAAGTGGGTAACCAAATCCTAAACAAGAAATAAGGGATAAACCACTACTCCTGTTCAAAAGACTGGGGAGAAGTGTGAACCATACCATAGGCAAAAATATCTACTCTTATTGAGAAAAAAATAAATAATAAACCCAATCCTAAACATGAGACAATGGATAAATCTTTACTCCTGTTCAAAAGAGGAGTGTGAAATGGACAATAGACAAACCTATCTGTTTCTATCTTGACAAGAACAATAAAATATGTCTTCAAGACATTATGGAGCAATGGTCAATAAGCTATTTTTGCCAATAATTACCACTAGTTGAGCTTGCTCCTCACTAGGTGCCCCCACATTAATATAAGATAACCTTAGTGAATATCAGTAGATGAGAGGGTAAAATGTTAATTCTTATTTAATTGAAGATAAAGTGATTTTTTTATGTTAATGTGTATTCTAGAGAAATGCATATTTTTGTAAGATTTTTTTAAATTTGTATTTTCCATTTACAGACCAAATGTGAGAAATACTGGCCTGATAAAGAACAGAAACAATATGGTGACATTAAAGCTCGTTGTGTAAGGGAGCAGTGTTTCAGTGACTACACAATCAGAACGTTTTTTCTTCAAAAGGTAAGAATTATCTTATTAATTGTTACACTGGTCATCAGAAATTGATATCATGAGTAACAGAAATAAAACTTAAAATTTTCCTCAGAGAGAAAAATGGAGAATTTCCTTAAAACCAAGATTAAGGAATAAAATTCCAACCACCCAGAAGCCAAATATGGATGAAATAGCTAGCTCACTTCAAGATCACTTTATTCAAAGTGATATTTATTTGAATATAAATATTAGACTTTTTTTTAGTTTGGGATCATATTAAGAATCAGCTTTTCAACAAAAAATCCAAACAACTTCAGTATTTAAAGAATTTCATTGAAGAGCCAGGTTTGATAATAATAGCATGCTAATAATATAGCAGCACATCAGGTAAGTCACCAGATAATGACCGAGATATAGAAGAAAGGAATAATCTCCCAGGTTGCATTTTTCCAATTATGGGCATTATTATATCCATAATGTAACAACACCTTATTCCATGGACAGAATGGAATAGCTGGAAGAAAAGGAATGACAAACATGCTTTGTTCTCAGAAAAAGCTTTATACTACTAAGTGATACACAAATATGTCCCATACAGAGTAACTATACTACATGTCGACAACAACAAGCAGTGTGAAAAGAAGCTTTCTAAGGAAAATAAATCCTTTAGTCAAGCATATAAACATGTTTGGCGAACATGCCATAGAAAAGATTCAAATGTACAAGTCTATAAAGCTGTCATCCTTCTTTTCCTGATAAGTCATGGGTATCTACCCACTGTTGTGGTACACGCATGCATAATGTCAGGGTCACCAGACATTGTTGTATTGCTCCTGGCTGGACTAAAAGCAGTGGTGAACAAAATTTAATTATGTAAATGACAGGTCATTGTTAGTAAATGTGAAAGGAAATGGAATAAATTTCAATAAATGGTAATGTTTTCAACATTGAGCCAGATAGAAAAAACAATTCAGAGAAAAACAATCAATATTTCTTTTTTTTTTCAAACAGCCACAACCATCAAGTACTTAAAAGCACTCATACACACAACCATACATACACTTACTCACTGTTTCTAAAAATTGTCATTTTTGTGAGAATATATTGTTTTATTTTAAACAGGAAAAATGTTTGTTTATTTGTTTGTCATTTATATTTTAAATTTTTGGTTGCCACTGCTTTTAGTGAAATAGAAGTAGTGACCACGATACCCCATCAGCTATACCAATTTGGATGCTTCCCTTAGCTATCTGCTTGTTCATCATTTTCAGTTTTCATTGGAGTGGCTTTATTAGTAACCAATTTTATAAACATTGTTGGGAAAAATAGATAAGTAAAAATCTACAAAGCTATTGTACCAACTCTGCACCTATAGTGTAAATCCTGGGTCATCTATCACCATCATTTATACTGACTTGAACTGTAATATCAAATTTTATTCAAAAAGTTCATTTAAATTACTTGTTATAAAAATATGAAACTTTTTTCATTTTAAATGCTCTACAACATGCCAAGATGTTTTTTTATTTCCATTTGCAATTATCCGAAAGCTTTTGAATGTTATAAAATTTCTAAAAGTGTTGTTTTGCAATATGGAGGTATTTGCAGCTTTATTCAAATAGAAAGTGTTGAAGTAAAAATTTATCTCTTTTTATTATCTCCTTTTTCAAACTTGGAGATAGCATGCAAGCCTAATTTGAAAATGAAGAGATATAATTTACTATTACCTAAAATAATTTTTAGTCAGCATTCAGTATTGATTTGTTATTTGAATGACTTTAAAACAATAAGAAATGAATATAAAATGTGATTCCTTGGATGAGCAATGCAGTTATGTGGATGCCTGATTCAGTTATCTTCTTTTTTTTTTTTTTATTTTGGTCAGCTTGTTATCCCCACCAAGATGTTAAAAAACACATTTAATCTAAATTTTTTTGAATTTTGCATCACTTCAATTTTTTATTCATAAAATGTAAGTTTAAGTGATTTTCTTTGACTTCTCAAGTGAGAAAACTCATGTAATTTTTTTTGTAATTTTATTGCAAATTGGTGATTAGAAGGAGGTAAATTATACTATAATATAAATACTAGCGTATGCTATAGGTAGCATGTATATAAGTGTATGAGTACAATTTTTAAACATAGAAATAATTGTGTTTTCTTTGTAAGTATTAGTTGTGTGTTGCACCTTTGCCTAAATTTTGCTATTATTCATGCAAAACTTTTTATGATTTGCTTTAAAAAGATGCACAGCATTCCCTTTTCTAGTATTTGCTTGTGTGGAGTCATATATATGAAGTTATGTTAGTTGTATGTCTGTTCATAATGGGTTATTTGATATGCATGCTTTACTTGCACTTAGAGAAATTTTAATATCATTACATATTTGTCTCTATGCATGTGTAAAGTAAAAAAGATAATCATTTAAGCTTGTAGTGGAACTTTGTTCAGTGCAATTTGACTACTGTCCATAAATGAGATTCAACCATTTCTTTTATAGTTGAATAGTTCAAAGAGAAGACAGTTATGGTTTTTATCCATCACAGCATGTTTATGGGTATTTTTTTTACAACTGTGCTAAATGTGTATAATATTTTTTTTTAATAAACAGCATTTCTAAAATTGTCTTCATTTAGCATTCACTTCTTTCTCTCTAGGGTCTTTGTTTTATCTCTCTATTATCACTGGAAATGTTTTATTTGTTTTTTATATATTATTATTATATTAAAGCTAACTTGGTGGTTGATGTAGTTGGATATTTTTCCACTGTGATATCATAAGCAGGATTGTCAGATTTTTTTTTACTTTTGAATCCCCAATGCTACTAAATTTTAAATTTCAATACTCATTGAGGGTACTTTTAATATAAGCTGGTTTAACTTAGGCTACTAATAAGAATGAAATCATTTTAAAATTTAGTGCAACCAGACAATTGAATATAGTCCAGTCCTCTACTTGCTACTTCAGTCTTGTGACTCTACTTGCAGATCATCAGTATTTAATTAATAAAAGAGGAGATATTAAATGGGGAACCATTTTATTTTACAACCAAATTATAAACAAATCCTCCACTGTGCAATAGATTCCATATATTTCTCAACTCTAAAAGAATGTATTTGTCAGTAGATTTGCCAGATCAAACAACATTTGAAAGGTTAATTTTGAATTTCTCAACTTGTAAGATCATGGACAACATTTTAAAATAAGCTGAACTTAATGAGAAGAATGTCAGTTCATGGTTTAGTCATGTTGGCCTTTCAAATGTATCCCAGTTTCTACCTGATAGCAATACTGGTATCTCCACTTCGTTGAAATAGCCATCAAAATATTCTTCCTTCTCATTTTATTTAGCATATTATTGAAACACAGTGGAAAAGAGGTAAGGTTACCATTTTCAAAACTTCAGAAATTGATTTAAATGTACCAGTGGTTTGAAATTTTCAGAGGGTATTTTTAGCTTTTTCTGTTTCTTTTCTCATCATGTTGTAAGAATCTAGATACAAATTTACTGTGGATGAAGCAATTTCTATACACTTTCATCCTAGTAAATTGCTTTCTCTTTTAAGGAAATTTTAAATTTAGATTAAAAATAAATTTAATTTGAGCATCCCCTCTGCTTTGTGAGGCTGTGTAGTTACATCGACACAAACATCCCTTGATTCCAATGAAATCCTAGAAATAAAAAAAAAATTCCGCTTTTTCATTGATTTTCCTAACAAATATCCTTACCATTGTTATTTTGATCCTAACATTCTGACAGCTATATTATTTGGTTTTCCTCAGTCATCTTGTATTTCTCATCTCTTTTATCAGTTAACCCAATCAAATTTTTTATTCACATATCACCTTAAACATTGGGATAAAAACAACATATATGAGGATATTAGTTTAATTTGCGTAGTAATGAGAGCAGTCAAAATAAAATTTTGTTAGACATCTCAAATATTTAATTAATAATTAAAAGTTGATTCATTTCTAGTGAACAATATCCTTCCTTAAGTTGCCTTGTTTTAAAATGGTTCCTTCACGTCAGTTTTTTTTATAACATTTTCATCCTAAGAGCTGAACTCATTCTTTGTGCAAGTTTTGTTGCTAACACATTTTAGCCATTCTATTTTACAGCCTTTCTCGAAGGAACAGACTGTAAAAAGAGTAGTCTATTTTTTACACAAATAAGCAGCAAAAATGATTAATTGGTTAAGTATCTCAGATCACTTCATTTAGGCAAGCAATATAGCTTTCATTTCTCTCGGTTAACTGGTGATGTACTGACAATAATTGCAGACAGTCTATCAAGCTCTAGATATCAATGGTGGAGCTCAGGCTGTTACTTTAGACATCTGAAAAGCTTTTGACAGGGTTTAGCATACAGGAGTTTTTCACAAGTCAAAAAGTTGTGGTGCCTCTCGACAAATTCTTGATCTGATCCATCCTTTCTTATCATATCCTGAAATTGAATTTATCCTGAATGGTCACTCTTCTATATCCATTTGAACTAATGCAGGTTTCCTCCACGGCTCTATCCTTGGTTCTACTTTGTTTTTAATTTTCATTAATGACCTTCCCAATAGTATCAGCTCTCAACTTGGTATCTATACTGATGACACAGCCATTTACTCCTGTTTAGACTCTAACCGATCAGTTCGATAAGTTCAAATTGGCAGCTGATGTCAAAAACTAACTTTAATCTGTTGCTCACTAGGGCAAAGAATGACTTGTTAATTTGAACACCTAGAAAACAAAACTACTCTCTGTTAATCATCTGAGAGACCCCTTTCTGCATTCCATCAGCTTTACTAGTGCTAACCTCCTGGGTGAGTGACTCTTTGTACCTAACATTCATGGCTGACATAAAGTGGAAAGACTACATGGAATCCATTACTAAGACAGCTGGTAAGAAAGTTGGTTCACTGTGTTGTACTAGACAATTTTTCTCTACAGAATGTGTCTTACATATCTATGCTTACCATTCATCCATGCTTAGAATATTGCTGTCTCATATGGTCTGGGGCTCCTGCTATATGTCA